TTGTAATTATGTCTTACTACCGATAAATAACTAACGTAGCTTTACTATATTTCTCCTTTACTTTTTAAAGACACATAACAGGATTCCTCCCCCTATTGCCTGTAGCAACATAATTAAATTTCCTTTTATTTTAACGTAATGTTTGTGAAAGTATGAGAATTCGAGAAATGTTGTTTGTCCAAAGGAAAAAACATGTGTGCTTTCATTTCAACAGCTGGGATTTGTAAGAATAATGACGTAAGACTTTTTCGTTGCAGAATAATACTTGTTGTAACTTTAAGAATGAACATTTTGTAGAACAGTTGCGAACTGATTTTCAACAATTTCGAGCAATTTTGCACCAATTTATTTATAACCGTTTTAACATTTTTAATATCTCTATTCCAAGTTCCAACTTGAGTCTTCATGTTAATAGTTATTAATAGTTTAGCTTAAAATTGTTCATATTTCAATGTTATTGGGTATTAATTAAGAAAAACATGAATGATTACAGTAATTAGGCTATGAACACCCAATTGTGAGAATAGCCGGTTTGCGAATAGTAAACTAAGTCTGAGACTTTAAAACGAATTTTGATTTCGATTAAACAAAGATAGCGAGCTAAGCAAGTTTATCGTATTTGCAAACCTACCAAACATAAACTTGTAAGCACCAGGGTATCAGGTGGGAATCATATATTAATAGTTATTCTTGATCCTCTGCGTAGGGAATCTGATGGGAATACAAAATAGCACAACGTAAACCGGATGTAACCGATTTTAGGGTATCAGATAGGACTAATTCTAAAGTCAAATAATTCAAAATTAGTAGTTTCTACCTATGTTGAATAATGAATGTAGTGTAATAACTCTAAACAGCTTTGTTTGATAGTGAAACGGTCAATGAAATCCTATTAGAGCTCACATTGCCAACATAATTGAATTTCGTGTGATAATCCGTCTATAATGTTGAATAATATATTGAGTACTAGATAAAATTAATTATAGAATATTTTCATATGGTTAGTCATACAAAAAATGAAACCAAAATGTTAATTGACGTTTCTTTTTAAATCGTGAAATGTGATTAAAGACCAAGGTTTACGGTACATAAGGGGTGAGAAACGATGATAGCAATTATGCATTTCGCACTCATGGTCATAAATTATCATAAAACAGGGATTTTTTTTATGATATCATGTGACGGGACAAATAGGTCGTACGTTTGGTAGTAAGCGACACGCCTGCCCATGACAATTTGATATTTGAGGCTTTAAATCACAAAGATCTGCGGGGCACTGCCGTAGCGCCCGCTGAGATATAAAATTAACAAGTCCCATAGGGATGTAGTTTCACCAGCACCCTTACCCATTCAAACCGGAACGCAGTAATGCTCACATTACTGTTAGCATGGCAGATATAAATATGGTGGCAGTAAGTACTTCCTTGGACGAAATAATGCGAACAGAAGTGAAAATTAAATTTTAAGTTTTATTACAATAATATTTCAATATAGTCTTGATTTGATTGCCTCCGTGGCCGAACGGTTATCATGCTGGACAGCTGCGCAAAGGTCCCGGGTTCTATTCCCGGGCCGGGAGAAATATTTGTATGCCCTGCATTTATTTCTCTCGCGAGTATAGGTGTAATTTGTGGTTGTCTGTCCATGGCACCCGCGATACAGGGTTTCCCTAGTGGGGGTTATAAGTGGGTGCGTTATTGTTATTATTAACAAAATGTATTTTACAAATTCTCCTTTAAAAAAATTATATTAATAAAAATGGAAGTAAATTAATTTGCTACTACGCGAACACAAATATTTTGTACGATTGTTAGGTCGTACAAAATAACTGTACTTGTGTCTTTTTTCCATGTAGTTAATTTAAGTTTAAGTGGATTTAAATTAATTGCATAGATTTCCGTAAAGTTAGTATATTTGCTCACAGTGACTACATGGGAAATTACAATTTCCCTACTCAAAGAAATAAAATCAATACTAAAAAAATTATAAGAATTACTTTATGATTATATGGCAAAACCGAGAATGCTTTCCTGACATTTATTTCTTGAAGAAATATTGATAACAAAGAAATACATAATACTCCAATCCATAAGAGTTTAATTCAATTAGCATTAACCTTTTTTTTTCTAAAACACAAACTGGGCTTCAAGGAGAAACCATAACGATCATTTATGAAATAAAATTAACATTTAAATGTTACGTTAATTTTTCCCTGGAGAGTTTTCACTTCCCAGTCTACGAGTAAGAAGGTGATATTTAGGTTGTTTTTCCTCAAAGCAAAAATTTATAACAAATTTAATGTTCTCCATTAATTCATGCAAGTTGACTTAATGACTTTAATAAATATTATCATTGAAATATGTAATGATGTTCATTTAGTACGTACCATGCAGATGACAATTTGTCTAATCCGGACGCGACAGCCGGAAATGAGATCTCGGTTACAATTAAACGATAGGCGAGTTGGCCGAAATTTGAGGGTTACAAGCGTCAGACAGAATTTTGAATTTCGAAAACGACAACGCTGGTTGGTATTTGACTACTTGGCGAATTCAACGTGTTTTTAAATGAAGTGATTTGAGGAGTTCTTAGGTTTTCGCGATTGTTACACAAAGAAGATGAAACTATTCCGGATTTAAATCGCGTTGACTGACCGTGACCATGGGACCTGTAAAGGGCCCAAAACGTTGGTTTGTTTGAAATAACAAATATATACGCGATTTAAATCTAGAAAAATAGTTTCATTTCCTGTGACGTGATACTGGTTTCATGTTACCTCTATTCGTGATGGAAAAATTATGTACAATTGGGGATCATGAAATTTTAGTAAAGTTGCACTCTTTTTGGTACCAGTAGAGCTCTTCCTGAAAGAGGTCCAGGGAAGTACTTACATATTTCCGTCAACCAGTAACGTTAGCATTACTGTGGTCCGGTTTTGAAAGGTAAGGGAGCTGGTGAATTTACAGGCACATGGGGACTTGTTAACTTGTGTCTCTGGGTGACGGGCGCAGTGGCAGTGCCCCTCAGATATTTGCGATTTAAAGATCTGAGTGGCACTGCAACTGTTATGGACAGGCGTGTAGCTCTTTATTTTGTTTACTGTTTTGAAACAACACTCTCAGACATCCTTCACTCCATCCCTTGTGGCTTCACGACGCATAAATATATGTCCTTCAAAATTAGTTTCGACAACAACTGCTCAGCGTTTCTTTCAATTCCTAGGCCCTTTCTTATATAATAAATTAAATAATATATCCCCTTTTTGTGAACTCTCCAAATACGAATGCAAACTAAAATTGACCAGATATCTCTTGCTCCTTAACTACGATGAGACTGAAAATCTACTAAAAGTCGTCAAATAACCTCACACTTCCACACTCACAAACACACACGCACACACACAGACACACAAGCACTCACACATTCAGGCACACACTCACTCACGCACTCAGGCACACTCACTTACTCACTCGCGCGCTCACGCGCGCACGCATAGTTTGTTATACATATTTTTTACTTCCTCCTCAGTACTTTGTATTTCGACATTACTACTAACATGACTATCCTAGGGGTTGGGTGCCTGGAGACCCATATTACAAGCTCTGCTTAGTTTGGGCTCCAGTCTCCCACAATACATTACTCTAAGCTTACGTAATAATGTATATTTACTGTAATTGTAACGTTTCTTTGTATTGTGTTGTGGAGATAAATAAAGATATTTATTATTATTATTATTATTATTACCATCAGGCGTACGACTTGTTCGTCACGTCACTTGATATTATAAAAAAAATTAAATATACAAAACTCTCGACTCGATCTGTAGGAGCGATGACCCCAGTGAGGCAACGAACGCTGGTTCGAGTTGAGTCAGATCGAAGGAATTTTTCTTTGTGTATATAAAAGGTGCACTCATGGTTTTTTTCGTATTGAGCTTCCCCGCACGGCTTATCATTCCTTTCCTGTACGTCTGGCGCACCTGTCTGGCGGACAACAATCTACGAGTACCTTACGCCGATTGGCAAAACCTTTCCCCACGATGGCAAGCATTACTGTGTATGCCATCGATATGATAACAAGAAGAAGTTTAGTCATATTTTTTACTTATGCACTTTATTGCAGTGCCCTTACAGGTAATATGTTGGATTATGTAATAAGTTTAAGACCTTTTTAACCGACTTCAAAATAATCTCAGTATTAAAAAACCGACCTCAAAAGTCATTCCTCAAGAGGAACCCTCTTTGCCACAAAAAATAATCATCAAAGTCGATTCACAAATGTCGGAGTTATCGCGTAACATACATAAAAAAAATGCATTTAATTTGAGACCCTTCTCCTTTTTTGCAGTCGTTCAAAAAAGAAAGAAGGGAACAATTAGAAACAAATGAACTCGCATACATTCTTCTCGCAAAACATTACAGAAATATTTAAGATGTCTTTCAATCCATCCTCGTACATATCACATTCACGCTTGTCACTCAACAGTGCAGTGCGTTGATTTGAGTCACAAAAAAGAATCATCGAAATCGGTTCACAAATTGGAGTTATCTTGAAGTCGGTTAAAAAGGAGGACGTTCAGAATTCGATTGTTTTTTTTTGTACGTGTGTTATGCGATAACTTTAGGTATTTTAGGCATTGTTTTTTGATTGTAAGCCGATTTTGATGATTCTCGTCTCTGTAGTGGTCCCATTTAGGTTTGAAGAATTTATTCCACCTGTAAGGGTGACAAACTAGGGCATGAATGACTTTTGAGGTCGGTTTTTTTAGTACTCGTGTACTCTTTAGTACGTGATTATTCTGTACCGACCACATAATATGACTATGATTATTAAACGTCAATACTTTGTAAATCGCCGATAGTCATTGGAAATACTTGACTGAACACTGCGCTAAATATTCTTTGTTTGATTGTTACAGAGAGAGCTCAAGCAAAAAATCTACCGCATAATGAGAACACGATACACTGCGGGCAATACCGTTTTTTCGGAGGTTTTCGATAGCGGCCGCTAGCAGCACCGATGAGGCTCAACCATGAGTGGTTGGTGCTGCATCGTGTTCATGATGTCCACGATCAGTACTGGCGTTTTCTCGCCTGCCCCACAGAAGACAGAGGTCAAGGAGACTTATGGTAAGATTTAGAGCGGTTACACACATGCAAACGCGATGCAGTAGCGATGCATTCGCTAATCGTCTACAGTTACACACGCGCGCGATTTTAAGCAGCGATGAACGCGTAATTGCATCGCTAAACTAGGGATTTATAGGCGATTGCATCCATGCAAAGGTGCGTTTGTATTGATGCAATCACGCATTTGTATCGATGCAGTCGCGCGTTTGCATCGCAGCTAAAAGTCGCCTTGCGTAACCACTTTCTTTTATTTCACTCGACAGTGATTTTGAAGACAATTTTATATAGAAATTCTATATTGAACAAGATTTATGAACTAATTATGAATGGATTACTGATACCCACAACATTATCATGCTAATTTTTTTAAAATTATTTATTTAATTTATGTCTTCATTTTTGTAAAGGCGTTACGTAAAAGATTCTAGCACATGAACCCTGTAAGGGCAATACAATGCTATGTTATTCATTATTACAATTATGAAATATAGTAAAAGGAATATAAAAATTTGAATCACAACAAATAAAATAAAAAAGTGTAAAATAAGTAAAGTCAAGCTGATACAATTTAATTTATAATTCATTAAGTAGTCAGAAATGGATAAAACTACAATGTTTGAAGAAAAAGAAAAGAAAAAACGAGTTACTAGTCAAAACTGCGATGAAAACAAATTTAAGCTATGTTAATATTAAAGATCAAGATAAGATATTAAAGAGAAGATGTGTATCCAACGATTGTTACATCTCATATGTGAAAACAGTACAGTACATATGCTTACAGCATAATATTCTGTATCGCTTGCTGTGTTAGCCACTAACTATGACTAATAAACTTTGTAACCAAATGTTTAATTGCTATTGTTGCGTATGCATCGTGTTGGCTTTCCTATACAAGAAATAAATAAAAAACATTTTTATAATCAGTATATACCACAGAAATACAGTAGTTATAAAAATGATAGAAATGTTAACGAAGAGTGGGGTTATAAATATATTACTCTCTAAGTGATATTTTAGTTAGATGAAGACCTCAATCAATATTTTAAATGCAATGGTGATTTTATTATTCAACAGATCGGCATTACTGGTACACTCAGGCTCAAGAAACGCTGCAGAAGCGGCTGCAGTACGCATCTGATAAGAACCCAGTTGCTAAGTAAGTATTTTGATAAAT